AAAACCTGTCTCCTTTTCTCTGAAACAAAGACCCACACAGAGCCCAGAGGCCACTGTGTTTCAGCAGTAAATATTTACAGAGCCTTGTTCACTTGAGCTATTTAAAGCAATTTTCCTGAGACATCAATCTGTTTAAATAGAGAGCATGAAATGCACATCTCCCTTGTCTTTCTGCCTTTTCCAGTGGGACTTCCAGGTCTAGGTACCTGCTTTCCTGCTGCCTCCTCCATTGTGTTTCCCAGGCTCGTGCAGGTGCAGTTCAGGGGCTTGGCTGAGTGGAGGTACCCCTGTCTCCAAGCCATGAATTCCCAAGGGGAAAGGGAATGACAGAAAACTGTCATTTCTCTTGGAGGGGTTTTACTTTTCCTACTCACATCAGGTGTCATCTTTTGGGTGAAAGCTTGAACTAAGCTCAGGTTGGGTGTGGGGTTTCCAGGTGATATCAATGCAAAGTGTGTTGTGCACTGCATGAGTAATCTGGAAGAGGTCAGAGTTTCCCATAACAAATCCTGTGTATTCCCATGGGAAAATGACTTTGCTTTCTTAGGTTTTCCTTAGACCAGTTGGCAATAGAAGGAAAGGTTTGGAATTCCCTGGAGCCTTGCCCGGGAGTGTGAAACCCAGCTCTGCAGAGGAGAATTGGGTGTCTGACATCAGACTTGGTGACAGCAGATCCCTTTGCACAGTGCCCTGTGCCAGGTCTGCTCCAGGAACAGGGCTGGGATGGCGTCAGCAGGAGTCTAAAGCAGGGCTGGAAAATTAGCAGAGGAGTCGGCCCAAGTGCTAAATCTGAGAGAACAGCCCAGACTTGTTCCCAAGCCTCATTCACTGTGTTGCATCATGCTCGATATTGGTCCAGGAGGAGATCAGTTGATATAAAATAAGCTTTGAACAAGAGTGGTTTCTTTGCCCCGGCGCCGCTCCCCGAGGGCCGGGCAGGGCTGGTTCGTCACCGCGTGGGGTTGGTGGGGTTTGAGCAGCACGGCCCTGCTGAGGCATCAGGGCTGGAACTGGAATGTCTGTGCCTGGCTGTGAGCAGAGGGGATGCTCAGCTGGGGGAAACCTGTCAGCACCACAGTGTCAGAAAGATATAAGCTCTTAGGGAGTGTCCAAAGGAGGGCAAGGAAGATGGGGAAGGGCCTTGATTTGAAGCCGTGTGAGGACACTGAGGGCACTTGGTGTGTTCAGCTGGAGAAGAGGAGACTGAGGGGAGACCTCCCTGCAGTTCCAACTGCCTGGGCAGGGGCAGAGGAGGGGCAGGGACTGAGCTCTGCTCTGGGGGGACCAGGGACAGCACCCAGGGAATGGCTGGAGCTGTGTCAGGGCAGGCTCAGGTTGGATCTCAGGAAAAGGTTCTTCCCCCCGAGGGTGGTTGGGCACTGACCAGGCTCCCCAGGGCAGTGGGCACAGCCCCAAGGCTGCCAGAGCTCCAGGAGGGTTTGGATGATCCTCTGGGGCACAGGGTGTGACTCTTGGGATGGTCCTGTGCAGGGCAAGGGTTGGACTTGATGACCCTTGTGGGTCCATTGCAACTCAGCACATTCTCTGATTCTGTGAACTACAAAAAGGAAACTTTAAAAACTGCCCTTGAGCTGCCTGAAGTGCAGAGGCAGAGCAGCAGCCCTGGCGTGGCCATGGCCTTGCACTGTCTCCCTGCCCTCAGCCTCTGCACAGAGGTGGCATCTAGTGGCTGCTGTGGCCTCTGTCCCCTTGTCCCTGGGATGAGGGAGGAGCCAAGACTGAGCTTGAGCTGTAGGCTGGGCCTAGGAAAGCGAGCTGGGCTGCTGTCTTAGTTTAACAAGATTACAACTTAGAAATAAGGAGACTTCAGGTGGAAGTGTGGAAAGGGAAAAAGAAACAGCTTTTATTAACAAAATCTGAATAAACAACAAATGGTGCAATTAAAAACTTTCAGAAGAAAACAAAGCAAAGTCCCAAATCCCCAGGTGGGGGAGGAGAAACCCGTGGCAGCCCGGGGAGGGGAGGGGGGGAATGGGGGGGAGGCAACGTTGAGGAAAAATTCCAACATCTACATTATGTAGATTTTGTGGCACCAGTGAGCCAGGGTCAGACTGCAGAGCTGTGGGAGAGCTGTGAGCTGTGTCCTGCCTGGGATGCTAACCACCTGGGAAAAATAACATACCAAAAGGGAGTCCCTTCGAGCTGTCCTGATGCTCTGAGTGTTTCTGGAAGAGGGAGGCTGAAATCTTCTCCAAAACATCAGTTGTACAGATTTTGGTCCTTATCAATGAGCTTGTGGGCAGAGTTTGCTCCAAAACCTTTTGTAAATGCAGTCCCTAGTGCCAGTTTGGGTGTGTGCAAGTTAAAAAGTACAGCACTTTCCTGCACCCCGTTGACCACATACTGCTCTGCCTTAACTCGGGTGTGTGTGACCATCTCAGAGCAGTGTCCCAGCAGTGCCACAGGGGTGATCCTCAGAAAGGCCTCCCCCCTCCACCTCCAGTGCTCCGATGCCAAGGAGAGAAGTTCTGCCCAAACACACAGACTGCCCTGAGCCAGGCAACAAAACCACTTGGCTGGAATTCCAGCTGCCTGGAATTGGGAAGGGGTAGGTTTGGTACTTTTTTTTTCCCTGAGCTTTTGCACTTGGCATGAAGTGTGGGGGGCAGCAGGTACCTGGAGACCCTGCTAGAACGTGGGGAGCTCTGGGAATTCCCACAGGAGCTCTGGGCTGCCAATCCTGCCTGACTCCTGGGAAGGGAGATCTGCAGGTACAAAGACAACCTCGTGCTTCCTCCCCCCATCTCACACACCTTCTCTGTGTGTGACATCACTGTGAAGGACATGAAGGGCTTTTGCTTTGCCTGTTTGTTTTTCCCTGAGCATCTTGAGGAAAGAAACTTCCCCCAGGAAGTTTTCCAGTGCATTTTTTACTGGTTTTCTGCTTTGGTCATGGCTGTATAAGACTGGTGTCACTCTGGTTTAAAGTATGTGATGTAGTTTCAGATGAACACAGAGTATTTAAAGCATTTCTCTGGTGACTGAATCATGAATATTTGGGACAGGGAACCCATGTTCCCCATGTTGGGGATGTAGGATGGACAGTTTGTGGGTGTGGAGCCTAATGAAGACATTTGTGTGTTTGACATTTACATTAATGAGCTTTCTTCTCTTCCCAGTCAAGCTGAGCCTCTCTTAAGGGCTCATAATCAAGTGATTTGTTTCACCTCACCAGTGGCAGTTTTGGAAATGTGGTTTCTGTGCCCTGAAAACTGCCTCTGTTCCCCCTCCTTGGTGCTTTCCTGCAGCTGCTCCATCTGTGTGCCTGCACTGCTGAGCAAGGGCTCCCTCCTGCCTGCAAGGAGCTCCTGTGCCTGAGGAGGAGGTTCTGCGTGGGGCAGAGTCTCCGAAACAGCACACTGGGCTTAATTAGCCCCTTCCCAACAGCCCATCAGAGCCTGGGTCAGGAACTGGCAGGAGAAGATGTCTGGATACTCCCTCCTTGCTGGGGAAAGATGTCTGAATACTCCCTCCTTGCTCCCACTGCTCCTCGCCATCCCTGGGGATCAAGGAGATTTATACCCGCCTGAAAGTAAATACAGATCACTTGTCTCTGGAGGAAGATAAAATGTAAACTGTCTGTTTTCTGTGATAAAGCTCTGGAAATAGTTGGGATTTAAGATAATTATCTTTATTGCTTTTTATAGCACCCTGTGAAGGCTGAAATCTAATTTGTTTTTCACTAACAGGGAACTCCTGCAGATGACTCAGAAAAATCCATTTGCTTTATTGACAAACTTGTCTGTTTGGTTGTCAGGGCAGTGTTCTCCTTGCAGGGAAAGGGAAATGCGGGTCGGGTTTTAATACAGATTCAAAGTCTGATATCTGTTGGCAAGAGGAAAAAATAAAGTTGATCTAATCAGAGTGAAGCGACTCTGCTTTATTAAAGAGGGCTGTAAATTAGTTGATGCTTCAGTGGGTGTGCAGTGGTGGTGCTTCGTGCTTTTGTTTAAGCAACTTCACTTGAAGCTTATTAACTAGAGCCTGCAGAGAAGCTGCTTTTCCTGGGCACCTGGATTTCGGGAAGGAGGTGGGAGGTGCAGCTGTGGCTCTACCCCTGTGCCTGGGGCTGTGGGGAGGGTTGAGTTTTGCATCATTTGAACCTGTTGCTTGCAAGTGGAGTTGCCCGTTTTAAACTTCTCGGTCTGACTGTGAGGCAGGCTCCCCCTGCTAACAAACTCCTTGTGTGTCTGAAGATGTTGGACACCCCTTGTGTGAATGAGTTGTGTGCCAGCACAGCTGGGTGTTGTGGTTTGGGGGAGGGTTCTGGTGCTGTGTGTGAAAAGTAGATGATGTCTGTGCTGCCTTCTCAGCCCTTCATAAGGGGGAGTGTGTCCTGCCTTGCCTCTGGGATCCACACCCCAGGGCTGCTCAGAAGAAGAAACAGCATTCCCTGGGCAGGTTTTCTATATCAGCCACCTCTCAAAATGTCCTGTGACTGCAGGCAGGGATGTTTGAGATGCTGGGACTGCAGGCTCAGGTAGTGGAGATGCTTATAAAACGAGTTTGTGTCTCACCCCCCAAAAGTCTAAATTATCAGTCATATGGGATAATGCTGCAAACCACTGAATCTCACATAGTCACAGAATGGTTTAGGTTGGAAGGGACCTTAAAGCCCATCTCATTCCACCCCCTGTCATGGGCAGAGACACCTTCCAGTAGACCAGGTTGCTCCAAGCCCCATCCAGCCTCTCCTGACAGGTTTTATCCAACAATGGACAAATTGTAAGAAACAATGGGGTTAACTGCATTTTCAGGGAGGAGGGATAGAGCTCCAGCAGAGCAGTCTTTGCCTTGAAGCAGAAGCCTATTTCTATCAAGTCTCTATTGTCCTCCACAAAGAGGCAGCAGAGCAGAGGGGAGAGAACATCCCTTTCAGTAAACATGAGGTGACAGATCCGGGTGGGCAGAGCAGGGTTCCTGTGTGTCTCTGAAGACCTTCCCAGTGTTTGCTCAGCTTTTCCTTGCTTTTCTTTCAGGAATTGACTACAAGACCACTACTATCCTGTTGGATGGCAGAAGGGTCAAGCTGGAACTCTGGTGAGTGTTTGTGAGTGTGATGCAGGCTGGGAGAGCAGGGGCAGGGGGCTCTGGGAGTGCTGGGGGGCTGCTGGACCCGAGAGCACAGAGCATCCCTGGCTGTGGTGAGGCTCCTGCCTGTTCTTCCCAGTGAGTTCCTGTGGCAAACCAGATACCTTTCTGTCAGTGGAGTAGCACAAACACCATGCTGCTCTGTGCTGGAATAGTCTGATTTCTGTCTTTCTCCATCATGCCTGACCGTTTCTGCCACTACTCTGCACTTGTGAGACCCCCCCTTGCAGTTCTGTGTCTGGGTCTGGGGTCCTCAGCACAAGAAAGACATGGACATGAACAGGTCCAGAGGAGGTCACAGAAATGCTCTAAGGGCTGAAGCCCCTCTGCTCTGGGGCCAGGCTGGGAGAGCTGGGGTTGTTCACCTGAAGATGATCTCAGCGGTCTTTTCCAACCCATCTGATTCTGTGATTCTGTGATTCTCAAGTCCAACCCTTGATCCAGCCCCGCCGTGGTTCCCAGCCCATGGCACTGATGCCACATCCAGTCTGTCCTTAAACACCTCCAGGGATGGAGAATCCACCACTTCCCTGGGCAGCCCATTCCAATGGCTGAGCACCCTCTCTGGAAAGCATTTCTTCCTGATATCCAACCTAAACCTCCCCTGGCACAGTTTAAGACCCAGCCCTCTTGTCCTACTGCTGGTTCCTGGGAGAAGAGACCAATCCCCGCCTGGCTCCCCCCTCCTGTCAGGGAGTTGCAGAGAGTGAGGAGGTCTCCCCTGAGCCTCCTCTTCTCCAGGCTGAGCCCCCCCAGCTCCCTCAGCCTCTCCTCACAGCACTTGTGCTCCAGTCCCTTCCCCAGCCTCGTTGCTCTTCTCTGGACCTGCTCCAGCCCCTCCATGTCCTTCCTGAGCTGAGGGCCCAGAGCTGGACACAGCACTCCAGGGGTGGCCTCACCAGTGCCCAGTCCAGGGGCAGAATCACTGCCCTGCTCCTGCTGCCACACTGTTCCTGAGCCAGGCTGGGATCCATTGGCCTTCTTGGTCACCTGGGCACACGCTGGCTCATGTCCAGGGAGACCTGAGAGCCCCTTCCAGTGCCTAAAGGGGCTCCAGGAGAGCTGGAGAGGGACTTGGGACAAGGGCCTGGAGGGACAGGACAAGGGGGAATGACTTCCCAGTGCCAGAGGGCAGGGTTAGATGGGATATTGGGAAGGAATTGTTGGCTGTGAGGGTGGGGAGGCCCTGGCACAGGTTGCCCAGAGAAGCTGTGGCTGCCCCATCCCTGGAAGTGTCCAAGGCCAGGTTGGATGAGGCTTGGATTCACCTGGGCTAGTGGAAGGTGTCCCTGCCCATGGCAGGGGGTGGAATGAAATGGTCTTTAAGGTGCTTCCAGCCCAAACCATTGTATGCTTCTATGTTCCTGTACAGCTGTTGATCATTGAGGGAACAGTACTATTTTGGAAGCAATACTGGATTTTCCTGAGATCCAAGGATGAGAAATACAGGCAGAATAGGAAAGGAGAAGACAAAAATAGGTGAAGCCCTTAGTCCCTCAGGAGCTGGATATTTCTCAATGACTTGAGGAGAAAATTAAATTAAAACAAGAGCAGTTAATAGACCTCAGAGTGTCAGAGTCTGGTGAACCCCTGGAGAACAGGAGTGACTGGACACTGGGATGGAGATGGGAGAACATTCCATGGGAGGGGTAACTCCTGCCTTGTCTGCCAGCACTGCAGGGAGAGCTGGAGTCCTGGCTGAGCTATGTCTGAGGTTTAACCTGCTGAGGAGCTGGCACAGCAATCCTGGAGATGAGAGAGGAGGGATGGGATAGGATGGGATGGGATAGGATAGGATAGGATAGGATAGGATAGGATAGGATAGGATAGGATAGGATAGGATAGCATTAGGGTGAGATAGGATGGGGAAGGATAGAATAGCTTTAGGATGGGATGGGATAGGATAGAGTAGGATGGTGTTTGGGTAGGATAGCTTTAGGATGGGATGGGATGGGATAGGATAGGATAGATAGTCTGCCCATATTCTGGGTTTTACATGGGTCTTGTGGGGAATGACACAGGCCCTAAAACATGGAGTTAAATAGCCCCTACCAGCTATTGAGTCAAGTAACAGGAATATTAGTAACCTGTGTGAATTGTTAACTAGGAATGAACTCCATGTTCTCAGCCTCAGTGAGTGACTCTGGCAGCGTGGAGTTTGGTGGTTTAATTACACCCTGCTCTCTGAAGCTGAATGTCCTCATTTTTCTTACAAAAAAGAACAGAAGCAGCTCATTTATCTCTTCTAGCCTGTGTGTTTATATGTGCCACTTGCATTCTTGCCTCTCTCTCATAAGATGCCTGTTGGAACATTTCAGCCCCAAGTGTGTAGTAACTTACTGCTTCCCTCTTGAAAACATCTTCTTTTTATGCTGCAGTTCTTGAGCTGGAGAACAGCACAGGAGCTGAAAAGCTGATAACAATGGTTTATGATGCCTTAGTGTAATCTTTCACCATTACTTACCCACTGTTTGATTGTCAAGGGAGAAGGATATGTAAGCACAGGCTGTTAGATTGATGTCCAGGGCCTATAATATGATCCCTGGAAGCTTTAAGCTTTAGATCTGAAGGAGTGACTGTCCTGAACTTGAGGTCAGTGCCTTTCTCATGGAGCTGATGCACATCTGGGGCTGAGGGGGCAAATCATCAGTCTTTTCAGTGGTCATTAATGTCTTTTATTCTGGCCCAGGGAATAGATTTGGCAAACATGATAATGTATCTGATTACCCTGGTGCATCTAAGTCTGTACTGGTTAAATTGGTGTGCTGGGCTCTGGCTTTTTGTCCCAGATGTTCCCACAGGCACTGGAGTGCTGGTAATGCTGTCAAACTTAGTTACACCCTGCTAAGACAGTAAAAATGATAGTGACTGAAGAGCCCCTTATTGTCCCAGTGGGATAGAAACACTGTTCCCCAGTCCTGCTCATTAGCTCTCCATAGGGTGAGATCGACCAGGTCTGTCAGGAATCTGAGTATAAGAGAATTCCCTTTATTTTCAATTTTTAAAACTTGTTTGAAAAAATAAGTGAAGCCAGACAGTGCAAGATAATTTCTCCTCCCTGGAGTGGTTACATTCATCTTATGGTAGGTCAGATGTTCTCCATGCCAGGGAGTGCTCTGCAGACTCACTCTGACTCTGAACTCCCATGGGCTGCAGGGAACCAAGACAGAAGATCCTTTGCCCAGGGGAATAAAATGACTTGCACCCTCATACATCATCAGACAGTACTGAAGCCAAGTGGTTTGGGTTGGTATTTTCTCCATGGGAAGCACAATGACAGTGGCAACCTCTTGAGTGTCTGACTGTGTCCAAATGTGGTGTTGTACCCACCGATTCTTCCCAAAAAACCCACCATGCGGAGCACTTTGGGTACCATGTGTGTTCTAAAGATCTGACAAGATCAACACTGATTTTATTCTGGTGTTTTGGGTCCAGCAGGAGATGTGCAGTATGGGAGTCAATTCTCCACATTTCACAGCTGTAACTTTTCTGTGTTTCAGGGACACTTCAGGGCAAGGGAGATTTTGCACCATTTTCAGATCCTACTCCAGAGGAGCCCAGGTAAGTGCTGCTCTCAGGGCTTTGAAGAGGTGCATTTGCTTTTCCTTTAGGCTGTAGGAATCTTTTCTGCTGTAGTAAAGAGCTCTGAAGAGGAAGGCATTGATCAGCAAAAGGATCTACGGAGATGCCAAGAGGCATCTTGTTGCCTGGGATTCTGTTCTTATGAAATGGTGGGAGAAAGGGGAGGGAATGACAGACTTTGCTAAACTCCTACAGAAAAGGTCTGTACAGGCTATGTTCAGTATTAATTTCTAGAGGTGGGGTTAGAGAGGATGAGGCAATTCTCACTTTAGATGTGCCTTAAGCTTTGATGTGGGAGCTCCTACTTTCTGAGGTTTCCCAAATTTGTTTAAATATGACACTGGCTTTCCCAGTGGAGCTCTTCCAGGCTGTGTTGCCTTCAAGTCAGTTCCAAAAATAGGGGTGGCTCCTACTTGTGTGTCTGAGGCAAACTTGGAACTAGAGCAGCTCAGTTGGATTGTAAAGTGCGTGTGTTCCTTAAAACTTGAGGCAGAGCCTTACAGTTTGAGTTTCTCCTCTGGGGCCTGCTCCAGAATAGCATCAAGATCCTCAACAGCACAAAAATCCTTGTGGTCCTCTGGAAAATTGCTTTTAGTGTTTTCTCACGGTTCTGTTGTTGTCCTTGTAATAACATGACAGAGGCTCTCCAAGATAAAGTCTCCCTGAGTTTAATGAGCTACTGTATTTACCTTATTGTTTCCAAATTGGAAAACTTTGGAGAAAATTCCTCCTCTCTTAGACACCTGGAGTCAGAAGCCGCCTATCAGCCTCCTGACTGTGCTGGTATCCTGGCAGATTCCCAGCCTTTGGGAAACTTTGCCACTTTCATTTAAGCTCTTGCCGCTCTTGGCTTTTTGCTCCTCGTAGGACCTTTGCTTTTGAAACTGGGAAAATCCATCTTGCTCTCTTTCCCTAAGACTTCCTGCAAATTCCCTTGTGCCGCAGACATGGGAACACCTCACCTGGGATGTGAGGTTGAGATCTCTGGTGTCCTGTTCATTCATGTTTGTGCACATCTCTGGTGGTCTGGATGCTTTGAGGCAGCTCCTTTGAAGCAGAGGCCAATTTCCTGGTGCTTGCAGAAGTGCAGGGCAAGGAGTGTTGGAATTCTGCAGTGGGAGAGCCCAGGATCTCCCATTCACATGCTCAGTCCCGTGTCTGAGTCTATCTTTAAGCTTTCCTCTGCCCTTACACATTTCAGAAAAGTCTGGAGCTCCAATCACAGAATCACAGAACAGTTTGGGTTGGAAGGGACTATAAAGCTCACCCCGTTCCACCCCCTGCCATGGGCAGGGACACCTTCCACTAGCCCAGGTTGCTCCAAGCCCCGTCAAACCTGGCCTTGGACACTTCCAGGGATGGGGAGTCCACAACCTCCTAATGGAACCTGTGGGCTTGAGGCCACATCACTTCCCTCAGCAGTTATAAATGACCAGAGCCTGGTCAGTGTGGTTTGCTGGTGACCATGAAGCTTAGCTTTGATCAGGCTTTTTTCTGAGACCTCGTTGTGTCAGATTCCCAGAATAAACTGGGAATAGAAAGCAGCAACTAATATGTCCAGAAATACCATTTGAGAGCTTTTACCCCTGTCTGCAGCCACTGTGCAGAATCTCCCCTCAGTGTAGCCTGTGAGCTCCTCAGAGCAAGTGCTGTGTCTCCACAGGGCTGCACCCACACACCAGAACTTGTACCTGCTGCTGCCACCGAGGGAACTGGGGCAGAGGGGGAGGTGAAATAAGGAGTGATGAGGAATTGGATGGAGAGACAGGTCTAGAACCTGCCTGGAGCTGTGAGGTACTGGCACAGCACATCTATGGGTTCCTGCAGCCTGGATACGACATTTGGGTGCCATAAGGTATCTGGCTGACCTGACCTCAAGCTTGAAATGGAGTGATTTTCTCTTCCTTCCTCAAAATGAAGTTCTTGACCTTCTTCACTTTGGAGGCAATGTCCTGCCCTTGTGCTGTGCTTATCAGCTTTGCTGGGGGGACTCTCACCTGAGGTTTGCCTCCTCCATCTTGCTGCCTGCCCCTCCCAAGGAGTGAGGCTGAGACAATGAACCTCATCAGCCAGGCAGGGGGACCTTCAGGGTGAATACTTCATCAAATCATGGAATCCTTAAGGTCGGAAAAGCCCTCTGAGGTCATCGAGTCCACCCATTAGCCCAGCCAAGTGACTGCCAAGGCCATCACTAAACCATGTCTCTGAGCTCCACATTCTGCAGGGGGTTCGTGAACACTTCCAGGGATGGTGATTCCACCACTGCCCTGGGTAGCCTGTGACCACCAGTGGTCTGACCAGCCTTTCAGGGAAGAAATTTCCCCAGTATCCAACCTAAACTTGCCCTGGCACAACTTGAGGCTGTTTCCTCTTGCCCTTGTTACCTTGGAGAAGAGACCAAACCCCCAGCTGGCTCCCACCTCCCTTCAGGCAGCAAACCAGCCCTAAGGAGTGAGTCTGCCCAGGAGGAGGAGGAGTTCCCAAGGGAAGTGAAAGACAGTGGAAAGCCTCTTGAAGACTAGTGACTGCAGTCCTTGTACTGTCTGCTCCAGACAGCTTGGAGGAAAACTCAGATTGTTTTCAGCATGAAGTGGTTGGCTCCCATGTGGTGATACACTGATATTCCTGTATTAACAGGAATACAGGTACTCTCTTAAATAACTCCCCACATCTTTCAGTGGAAGGGGAAAGCATCTAAATTTATACTCTGAATGGTTAACCAAAGCAAGAGGACTGTTTGTTTTGAATAACAAATGCCTGTGTGATTGCAAGGATGGACTTCCAACACCTCCAGTTATTTTCAGTATGCAGAAGCTGACTCCTCTTGGCATGGCTTGAGCACAAACACAACCTGACCATTGTGGTCTTGGCAGCGAAAGATAAAATGCTCCTGAGTCGCCTGATTTAGAACCATGGAATGGTTTGGGTTGGAAGGGACCTTAAACCTCATTCCACCCTCCCGTCCAACCTGGCCTTGGACACTCCCAGGGATGGGGCAGCCACAGCTTCTCTGGGCAACCTGTGCCAGGGTCTCCCCACCCTCACAGCCAACAATTCCTTCCCAATATCCCATCTAACCCTGCTCTCTGGCAGTGGGAAGCCATTCCCCCTTGTCCTGTCTCAACAGGCCCTTGTCCCAAGTCCCTCTCCAGCTCTCCTGGAGCCCCTTTAGGCACTGGAAGGGGCTCTCAGGGCTCTCTCTCTCTCTCTCAGGCTTCTCTTCTCCAGGTGAACCCCCCCAGCTCTGCCAGCCTGTCTCCAGAGCAGAGGGGCTCCAGCCCTTGGAGCATCTCTGTGGGCTCCTCTGGACCTGCTCTAACATGTCCACATCCTTCTGGTGTTGGAGGCCCCAGAGCTGGATACAGTACTCCAGGTGGGGTCTCCAAGATTTGTTCAGGCCTGTGTGCTGTACTGGCTTCAGCTGTTTGCTTCCCTCTCTGCTGTCCTGGAATCATCAGGCTCCAAGACTTCTGCCATGGGAAGGCTGACGCAAATCCCATCAGAGGCAAGAGAAGCAGCTTTCTTAACCTAAAAGCCAGAAGCTTAGGAGAGAACAAATCCAGCAGAGGACAGAGATGCCAGGGTGGGAAAGGCTCTGTTTGCAGTGCAGTGTGATATTTGTACCAGAACAGCTTGGTGTAAACTGGCCATGAGCAGCTTCACACTGAGAATTAGCAGAAGGTTCTTGCAGGGTAGAGGACTGAGGAGCACGAGGGGACCTTGAAGAATGAGGTTTCAGAGAGGATTTTGACAGGTTAGCTGTGAGAACTGGAGGCTGGCTCAGCAAGCTGGCAGCCCTTACCACGGTCTGAATAGCCAGTGCTTAAGAGAATACTTGGTATGAAAAGTGCTTCCAAGCCAGGGAAGCACACTGCACTTTCCCACACACTCCTTCTTGTTTTTTGAGCATAGCAATAAGAATTGAATCTTCTAAAGTAAACCCTGGAGCGGTTGCAACATGGAAAAACGGTCTCCAGATAGGAGTAGACCTTGGGAGTTCTCCTTTCCTCCGCAGCACAACCCTCAGACTGAACTTCAGGCTGGTTCCTCCCCAGGGGGAGGACTTGATGCCTTCTCCAATTTCAACTCCACTTGCCTGGGTCCATACATGTGGGTTTCATGTTCAGCAGGAACCTCTTCCTCTGGAAAACATCTGCAGTAAAACAGCTTCACTGCCCTGATGAGCTGGCTCTGAACAAGGACCAGCCCCTTCCTCCAGCTGAGGCACACCAGCCTGTTTGCCCCAGGGTTTGCTGTGAGGATCACAGAGCTCTTGCCTTCCTCCCTGTCCTGCCCAGCAGATGTGATCTCATTAGGGGCACAACGAGCTCTTGGGCTCGAGGTGGAGGCTTGTGGGGGCTGCTGTGCCTGGGACCCCCCCTCCTTTTCTCTGGCTTCTCTGGGGATTGAGTTTCCACTTCATCCCTGCCCTCTGCAGGGCCAGCAGGGCCATCACTTCAGGGTCTCATTTTGGAGCAAAAGAGGAGCGTTTGTATTTGGGATAGCCAAGCATTGGCCTCCAGGCACAGAGAGAGTGTGCAGGCCATGTCATGGAGACAGCAGGGCCAGGGAGGTAGAGATGGAAACCCAGTGGTGTTGCATGTGCAGAACCAACCCAGGGAGTCTGGAGCTTGCTGTGCTGCAGAAGGATTTTTATGTTAATTGTCACAGCTCAGGGTATGGTGAAAGGTATTTAGTGATGCTTAAAGGTGCTGCAGAAATCTTTTTTGCTCTTGGACTTGTGCTCCTTTTGAGCTTGGCTTCAAGGTTTCAATATTCCAACAGCAGAGCTGGCACGCTGATCTCGGCTGTTGGGAGCAGCTGTGGCTCTTCTGGCTGCTGTGAGCAGATGCAAACTATTCCAAGAGTCATCAGAGAGGGGAAGAAGACTTGTGGTGGTGCTTCCTGATCCAGCCAGGAAGAAGCAGTGCTAGGATCATTCCTGATGTCCTCATATGCCAGCGATTTAAACTGTTCCTGAAAGTGTGGCTTGCCAAACTCTTCCCAGACAGTGTAAAAAATGCTCCCATCTTACAGCAAAGCTGCAGCCCTAAAGGAATGATGAATGTTGTTGAGTTCTGCTTAGGCAGGTGTTTTGAGGAGCTGCTGTTTATCCTGTTAAGGGCTTCTTAGTATGCAGGAAGGTGGTGGATTTTTGGCAGCTCAGCAGACTCAGGTGTAGGCTCTGCTTTCTTGGTTGCAGCAAATACCTTACCTGCCTTGGGTCATTCAGATGGGGTTGTCTAGCTGCTGGAGAAGTCTGCCCTGCCTGCCAAAATATTTATCAAAAGCACAGGGATAAATAACCCCCCAGTGTGCTGTGGTGTTGGGAAATGGCCTGGCAGCAGGATGTAACTGCCCACGAGCCAAGGCCCGAGGTGCCAGCTGGAAAGCCATGACCAAATGGAGCTCCAAAAGAGCAGGAGGGACAGAGTGTTCTGGTTCCCGTCAGCACTGGATCTTCTGTTCATGGTTTGCTTCATCCTGTGGACCAGAGAAATCCAGTCTGGGGGGTCTTCAGGCTTCTTCAGCAACAGCTTTTTTCCATCAGTGGAGAACAGCAGTGAGTGACACTTCCCTGGCCACCCTGTCACCTGCCTGCACTGGGCTGAGGCCTTTGGCAGTCACGGGAGTGCTCCCAGCAGTTCCTTGTGAGATCCAGCTCCTAAAGCATCTGGGAAGTGTTTCTGGACAAGCCTGACTTGCACCGACAGTGAACACGCTGATTTCCACTCGCCTTTCAAAGCTTATTGCTGATAAACCTGGTCCAAACCTGCTGCAAGCAGGCAGAGATGGTACTTCCTCACCACCACTGTGGTTATGTGGACAGATCTGTGTGTCAGCTCCTGCTGGAAACAAATTTGGCTTTTGGCAGAGTAAGTGTCCACATGTGCTGCTGGATACAATGACTGGTGATCTCTCTATGTTCCTTGTTCACTCATGTGGAAATTTCTGTCACTGCTATGCTGAGGGCTGTGCCAATCCCAGTAGTGTGGAACAAAACCAGAATGGGAATGAACTCTGAAAATCAACTGTGAAAAGACCTGAGATGGATCTGGGGATGAGTCCAGTCCTCTTCCACCTCACACAGAAGCTGTAGGCAGGTTGGGGAGGGAAGGAAGGAAGGCTGTTGTGAGGGGTCCAGGATACCCTTGGTCTGAGAAAGCTGAGTGTGGAGCTTTTACTGCATGCTGTGGGAACCTGGGGTACGTAATGCTCACAAAAGGGCTTTGTGAAGCTAAAAATGGAGAGCCATGGAGAGAATACAGTGTTGACAGCCATCTAGGCACTTAGAGAGCAAATTAGGCTGCAAATGGGAAACTGTTCATTTGTCGAGTGGAGGAAATTAAAATTCTGTGCACGTTATTCCAAAGCAGACTTTAAAAAAACCTGACAGATCTTACTTGGAACTGTCTGCAGAGATGGAGCCAGCTCTCTCTGTGTGCATGGCTGAGTGCTGTTCTCTCTGGGGGAGAGATGGTAATGACAGAGTGGATTTGGGATGTGTGCTCTGGAAACGTGGTGTCTGGAGCATGCCAGCACCACTTGGAAGCAGTACAAGGTTATCTGGCACCACCAGGAGCTGGCCAGAGGTTTAGAAGGCTGTGTCCTCCCTCTGCTGAGGTACAGCACAGCTGGGTTGGGCAGGATGGGGACAGAGCAGGGCACAGGCAGCTTGGCCTCGGTGTCTTCTGAACTTTCCTGGACAGTCTTCCCTATAAATGTGTGTGCTGGAGCTGTGGCATGGCCTGGAGACCCAGCTGGCAGACAGAGTGTCATCTCTTGCTTTTAGAAATTGTGGGCTTGACCTTCCACCCTGCTGAGAATGTGGGGCTGCATTTCTGCTGATGTTTTATCCTTATTCCTATTTAAAGAAGATCCAGGCGGAAGCTGCCAGCAAAGCTCTCTCCTCCTAAAGCATATTCCTGGCAAGAGCAGTCAGCACAAACTAGGTCTTGGGTCTGTTTCTCTTGGCTAAAGGAACTTGTCAATCCAGAGATGAAGGAAGTAGACTTTATTTATCCTGCTGGCCGTTTGTCTTGGAAGGGGGTCATCAAACTCTTTGCTTGGTTGTTTCCTGCCTCTCATTCATTCTCACGCGCGGCCTTGGAAGATGGAAATCAAAACAAATAGAGGAAAAATTAAAAGAAAGCTCAGAGTCTTTTTTTTTTTTTTCAATATGCACTTAAAATGTGATGTATCCTGCTAGTAAGTATTTCTAGATGGGGCTCTTGAAAAGCAGCGTCTTTGGGGTCGTGGGATGTTTTTAATTATGGAAAATCATTACTTCCTTCTAATTTTTCCTCTCTAAGTGTGGAAGAAACTGACCCTTTTCTCCTCCAAAACAAAAACAACCTCCAATTCTTTCTGAGTGTGACATTTTTGGGCTGTTCTAGAAATGGCACTGCAAAAAAAAATTACAAACTCTAGGCATGAGCTCCAGACTTTCTTTGGAGGACACTGAAGATGCTTCTCCCATCCCACAGATACTTCTGCCATTATGAAAATGGCAGGTGCCTCAGAACAACCTCAAACCCACACTTGGAAGGGCTCACTCTTCATGTTGGGCTGTCAAACACAAAAGCCAACCCACTACACCTGACTTGCCTTTTGTACCCCCTCCCCTTCTGTTTTTGTACATTTGAGCCTCTGTGCAGAAGGTGCAGATGTGGAGATGTGGGTGGGACAGGGAGGGCAGAAACAGCAAGTGTTGCCTGGGGAGCACCTACCCTGGGGTGGAAGCACCATGCAGTGAGGTTGGGACTAAAGCTGAAAAATCAGAATTTTCTAGAGTAAGGAATCTGAATTGTTCTAAAATTATAAAATTGGTCAGGCTTTGAGAGCTGCTCATTCTGAAAGAGCTGAGAGAAAGACAGACAAGGTCAAGGCACACGCAGTGCACTGGGGGAACTGCTGTTCCTGTGGGGCAGCAGTGCCAGCTGCAGATGTGACTTCACTGGGAAGATTCAGGTGCCTTCGTGGTTCAGATGCCAGTTTATCACTCCCGCGTGCTCCACATCTCACATTGCTGATTATTTTTTCATAAATTTGAAGTGTATCAGATACAGGCTGTACAGGCTGCCCCTCACAGGCTTTGGCAGCAGCAGGGATTTTGGGAGGACTGGATAGCTGGTGTTTCCCATCTGTGTAGCACATCTTCCATTTCAGGGAATGAAGGAGCAACTCCACAGATAGGTGAGGGTGCTTTGGTGGTCCCTGACTCTTACCAGGACAGATGATGGGCAGTTTGTCAGCTCCCTCCTTCCCTGGGCTGAATCCAGGCACCTCAAGGACCAGGCTGCCAGCTGAGCCTTCCTTTGCCAGTTTAAGCTTGTGCTGGGGCCTCACTGGAGGGACAGCTGTTCCTCAGGATACCCCTGATGCAGGGAGGACTGGTTTGCTGAGCTTGCTGCTCAGTGATCTGGTTTGGTTTGCCCTTAGCTTGTCTTGCTACTCCTGAGTTCCCTTTCATCCAGTGCTGCCTTCCCAGCTGGATTGTCTCCTCTCTCAGCACGAGATCATCTGCTCCTCCCTAGTTCCCATTTCAGGGCATCTTCAACTGCAATTCTGCCAAGTCAGCTTGGAGTGCCTGTTGTCACTTGGAATGTCCTTGATTGCAAAGAAGAGAGTGACAAGAAGTCAGAAAAATGAGAGGGGGGCTGGAGAAATGCTGCTGCTGAGGACAATTCCCTAAATGCTGTGTGTGCCCAGCCGGTACCGAGCACTGCCTCGTGTGCCTGCAGGGCCAGCACTGCCCTCATGTCTGTCCTCAGCAATGCTCTGAGTCGAGCAGAGCTCCTTGCTGGGAGATGCTGTGGACCCGAGTGGTGGCCACCAGTCTGGCCATGCTCCTGGGTCCTGCTAACCAGGCTCAGGGTGAGGTGGAGACTCCAAGGAGCTGCTCCTGCCTTGGGTTGTGCCAGTCCTGGGCCAGCACCACTGTGCTGCACCTCCAGAGGTGACTGGGAAGCGAGTCATGGATGTGGGTGGTGTTCAGGGACAATGGAGGTGGGCCTGAGGATTCTGTAGGTACCTCTTGGCAGAAGAAAGGGTTGTTCTGTGTCAGTGTGCCAGTGACAGTGGGAGACACCTTCAGCAAAGCCTGGGTGGATCCCAGTCCTGAGAGCTCAGTCCTGCAGAGATGCTGTGGGGCTTACTGGCATCATTCAGCTTCTTCCTTGTCAGCACAGGGCTGACAATGAGACTGTTCTGTGGAGGGAAAACATTCTGAAGAGGGGTGTGCTTGGTTTAACTCTGTCCTGCCCTGCTGCCTCTCTGCCACTGACTGCAGCTCTTCTGTGTAAGGGGAAAGAAAAAGACTGTTTCTGCCTCAGTGAGCTTGTATCAAATTTGAGACAGGAGAAGGGTGTTTTGCCCCTCCAGATACACAGTCACCAAGGCAGTTCCTGCTCCTGTGTAGAGACTGCAGCTTTGGAAATGATTTGGAGGATGCCAAAGCCAAAACAAGAGTAAAACCTTCCCTAATGACCTGGGAGTGCATTAGCACAGTCCTGTTGTCTCGATTTTTGCCCTATCAGCACACAAATGGTGCAGCTGGAGCAACGTTCTGTCCCTTGCCCTCTTGGTTTCTGCACTTGGAGATGGTCTTTTCAGGTATGTCCCCCCCTTTTCATGTTGCCTACTATGAAACCTCCTGATTGCTTCTGATTTTCTTCCACCAGGGAATTCTCTTGGTGTACGACATCACTAATCGCTGGTCCTTCGATGGGATAGACCGATGGATAAAGGAAATAGATGAGGTAAGGGAATGGAAGAACATATGCAGGGATCTATAGCAGAAATTTGGGGAGGTATCACCTGAGGTGTCACCTCTGATATGGGGCAGGAATGGCTCTGCTATGGAGGGGACACGAAGGCAGTGCAGTACTGAGCAGAGCAAAGTGATAAGTGCCTGTCCTCCACCTCTGTGTAAATCTGGAGTAGTAGGAAAGGGCTTGGGAATGGTCAAGAAAGGTAGGGAAGTTCCCTCTAAAATCACAGGATCACAGAATGTGCTGAGTTGGAAGGGACCTACAAGGGTCATCAAGTCCAACCCTGGCCCTGCACAGGACCATCCCAAGAGTCACATCCTGTGCCCCAGAGGATCATCCAAACCCTCCTGGAGCTCTGGCAGCCTTGGGGCTGTGCCCACTGCCCTGGGGAGCCTGGTCAGTGCCCAACCACCCTCGGGGGAAAGAACCTTTTCTAATATCCAACCTGACCCTGCCCTGACACAGCTCCAGCCATTCCCTGGGTGCTGTCCCTGGTCCCCCCAGAGCAGAGCTCAGTCCCTGCCCCTCCTCTGCCCCTGCCCAGGAAGGTGGAACTGCACTGAGGTCTCCCCTCAGTCTCCTCTGCTCCAGCTGAACACACCAAGTGCCCTCAGTGTCCTCACACAGCTTCCCCTCCAGGCCCTTCACGAGAGCCATGATTTCTCCACTCCTTTCCCTGTTCCAGCACGCCCCAGGTGTCCCTCGGATCCTGGTGGGGAACAGGCTCCACCTGGCCTTCAAGCGGCAGGTGCCGACGGAGCAGGCGCGGGCCTACGCCGAGAAGAACTGCATGACCTTCTTCGAGGTGAGCCCCCTCTGCAACTTCAACGTCATCGAGTCCTTCACGGAGCTGTCCCGCATCGTCCTCATGCGGCACGGCATGGAGAAGATCTGGAGACCCAACCGAGGTGAGCAAGGAGGCTGCTCCTGTGGGGAAGGCTGGGCTCACGTGGAGGGATGGGGCTGCCTGGAGGGGGGGTGTTCCTGAGGAACTGTGGGAGCTGAATCCACCTGACAGGGAGAAGTGCCTTGGGCCAGACAAGCTGAAGCTGAGCCACAAGCTGCCTGGACTGGCGCAGGGCTGGGCAGCTCCACAGGGCAGTTCAGCATGTCTGGGATCTGCAGTGCTCTGGGGCATCCTCTGCCTTCCCACTCACTCTGCAGGAGGCTCAGGGCAATTATCTCCCAGCTTGAAAGTACTTCAGTCAGACGGCTGTGTGGGACAAATCCAAGCGTAAGCACCTCGGTCCTTGCCCTTGCCTGAGCCTGTCCCCCCTGTTCCAGAGGGAAGCAGAGCAAGCCCAAGGAGCTGAAAGGGACTAAACCTCCTCCCTGCCTTCAGCAGGCAGCAGTGGGCTGGGGGATTCCATGTATCCAGGCACATGGGCTGCAGTGAGGCAAACCACAAGCAGATTTCATGTTATGTCTCAGCCTGTTGGCTTTGAAGAAAAATAATCCCAGTTCCCACGTTATTCCTGGCTGGAAGTATCCCACTGCAGTCTGAGCAGCAGGAGATCTGTGCTCCTGGGGTGACCTACCCTCCCATGGATCTTCAGCTCCTGCTCACCAGGGAGGGGGAATCCTGTTTGCCATCCCCAGTCCCCAGATGTTCTGCCTGGGCTCCTGTCCCCGACTGTGGCACACTTGGCTGCCGTGCCACAGTCTCCAGGTCACCGAGGGATGGTGGGCAGGGAATGTGCTGCATTCACGGACCTTTCCTGAACCTCTTCCAGAGGTTTTGTAACTGTGGGCTGCCTGCTTGGGAACAGATAGGGCAAAAGGAAATGTCCTCAAGTTGTACCAGAGGAAGTTTAAATTGGATATTGGGAAAATGTCTTCCCTGAAAGGGTGGTGGTCAGGCCCTGGTACAGCTGCCCAGTGCAGGGTTGGGGTCACCGACCCTGGAGGTGTTCAAAAGAGGTGTAGATGTGGCACTTGGGGAAGTGGGTTAGTGGTGACCTTGGCAGTGCTGGGGAACGGTTGGAGTGGATAGTCTTAGAGGGCTTTTCCAACCTGAATGATCCTGTGTTTCTATGAACGGGAAGCTGCTCGGGATCGGGACCGCGTGCTCGGGAACAGCAGCGTGGCGCTGGCGGGCGGGAGGAGGATAACGCGTGCCCTCTTGTGGCCGCGGGATGGGAATTCCCCTCCAAGGAGAGGGACTTCCCAAGGCGGGCTCACATGGTGCAGGCTGAGCTAAGAGGCTGCTGGGAAACGGGGAAGAGCAGAGCGGTGTTCTGGCTTGGTGGGGTCTCTGTGCCTGGGGGGTTCTGCAGAGAGCTGCTGCTCCCCAAGGAGGTCCCAAGGGACACTGTCCTGTTTCAGGACTTAACTGACCCTGTTGCCTCTTCCCTGGGCATGCCCTAGTTGCCAGAGGATGTGCTGAGAAGCCGAGTGTCTGTCAGGAATGTGAGCCAGGCCCTGCCACCCCGGGCACTGAGCAGGGGAGGGCTGGCAGTGCCTAACCCTGTGTTGACACCAAACTGGTGTCTGGCAAAGCAAAAACCTCCAACGGCAAAGCTCACCTTGATTGCCCAAGCTTTTTTCCTAACCAACCTGCTCCCTAATAAAAGCTCCTATGCAGTAATTCTTGGCATATCTCCCTGAGGAGCTGGAGCTGTGCAGCGCAAGGAAGGAATAGCTGTGGGATGAGGGCAGCCCAGGAAATCTCTTGGCCCTTGACTGTGTGGTCCTTTCTCCCGCAGTGTTCAGCTTGCAGGACCTGTGCTGCCGAGCCATTGTGTCCTGCACCCCAGTCCACCTCATCGACAAGCTGCCCTTGCCTGTCACCATCAAGAGCCACCTGAAGTCCTTCTCCATGGCCAACGGGATGAACGCGGTGATGATGCACGGCCGGTCGTATTCCCTGGCCAGCAGCGGGGGCGGGAGCAGCAGCAAAGGGAACAGCTTGAAGAGATCCAAATCCATCCGGCCGCCCCAGAGCCCCCCACAGAACTGCTCACGCAACAACTGCAAGATCTCTTAGCAGGATGGGCACCGGGAGCTTCTGTCGGATCCGCACCCACCCACCGATGTACAGCTGTTTGCACACCCAGCCCTTTCCCACTGGATCCTTTCGGATGGGTTGCTTTTCCAATGGCACGCACAAGCGTTAGGAATGTGCTCACGTTTTGGCTTGGCATAGGAAGAAGCGTGGTGCCAGCTGGATCCCGCAGCGCTGCCGGAGAGAGGATCTGCCAAGTGACCCTCCAAGAATGCTTTGGGCTTTGCCTCTCGGCCTGGGGTGGAAAATTCAGCAGCTGCCGGGCTGGGGAGGGGGGAAGGGGGAAAAAAAGCTCATCAAGTCTCAATGGAGCAATGGATTTAATGGAAGATTGAGAGGCTTAAGGGAGTAGGCAAGGAGAGTCTGTGCTGCAACTTTAACTCTTGACCTCCTGAACAGATTGCTGGTGCAATAGTGATCCTTGGATGTAGACAATAAGAAACAGGGACAGGGGAATAATGACAGTTTTCACCGGGATGTTCACCTGCTGTTGCCAAAAAAAACCAGAAAACAAGGCAAGAGTTGGCCAATTGGAAAGGGGAAGGCAGCGCTCGCTGCCTTCGCTTATTTATGTAAATATTATACATATATATATATATCACTTGTTTTTTAAGGGTTTTTTTAAGAAGCTGTCAGGGAAAATTTTATGCAGCCATGTAAATACAAGCACTGGATGGACTTTCCCAGTGTCAGCAAAGGGGAGAAGTGGAGAATTTTCTGATGAAAACACATAAATGCTTTAAGAGACTTTCCCTCACCCCTGGGCTCGTGGTGGCGTTTTTAAATACTGTGTGTGCAGAAGGAAAGGACAATTCGTGTGGAACATGCCCCAAGCTGCTTTATTCCAATCACTCCCTAAAACTTGTGAGTGCTGATGCAGGGTGGGATGGGAGTGGATAGAGGGGCAGAGTGGAGAGGCCAGGGTCCTGGGGGCTGGGGTTTTTTGCAGGCAGGAGGAAGAGGCAGCTCTGGGGTTAGACCGATGCCTTGCTCGCTTTGAGCCTTCTGGTTGGGGATTTGGGAGCAGGGGGTGGAAGCATTGTACCTAAAGCAGGGAAAAATGCTGAATTTTGTCCCTTATTGCTGCAAAACTTTGGCTGTTGCTTCCAGTGCCCTCCGTCCAGGACACTACCCCGTGTGACAGCCCCTGGATTCTGTCTGCTTCCAGCTTTACTTTCCCAAAGATGCTGCCTGAGGTTGCACTGCTGTGGCTCCTCCTGGATGAAAGTGGGAAAGGGCAGAAGTGGCTTTTCCCACTGGAGCGTGAAGGAGCAGGGACTAGGAAGGTGAAAGGTTGGGGTGGGGAAACAGCAATCCCCACGTCCCTTAGTGGCAAAGTCACTCAGCTCTTGGGGTAGTCCCAGAAGATCAGGAGAGCAAACTGCTCCATAGGACAGCTCCTGGATTTTGAAGGGGCAAGAGCTTGGGATGGATCTTCTGTCAAGCGAGTGCACCTGCTTTCCTGGCTTCATCCCACGGCTGACCTGTGCTGGGAATTCACCTGGAAGCTGAGAAATAATGCCCAGCCCTTACCCCAGAAGCTCAGGGGGTTGGCAGTGGGGCTGAGCTGTGGCGGCAGATTCTCGTGGGTGGCCGGGGTGTGTGGACTGTGAGTACCACGGTAGGAAGTGAAGTGTACAGTGCTGCCATCCTGCTCCTGGGATCAGCAGCTCCTCAAGGCCTGGGCTGGCTCCGCTCCCCCTCCCCAAGCCGCTCGTTGCACTGTGTGGGCAGGATGAAGCCGCAGCAGCTCCTGTGCGGCCGACAGACCCGCCAGACCCGCCGTGTCCGGGCTGGACACGTCCCCCCGCGGGGACATTGCCTTCCCTCGCTCCTGAGCCCACCTGGGAGGTGCTGGAGCCTTCCCCCTCCCCTCTGCAGAACACAACAGGGGCAGGTCTCTTGGCTCAGCTTTATCTCTGCTTTATCACCCAGCTCAAGTGAGCGGGGAGAGAATTAAACCCCAGGCAGGCGGAGGGGGAGAAGAATCCTTTGTAGTGGTGCTTTGGCTCGAGAGCAAAGCTGGGGCCGGGCCCGGCGCGGTGGCACAAGGCCGGGGGATTTGGAGAACCTGTCTGGGCTGGCTGGCACCTGTTTCCCATCACTTAACACACAGCAGAAGACAATCGCTGGCTCAGCAGCCCGGGGATATACGGCCAACAGGTGACGGGCACCAAAACTGACGGCTTCTCCCGGGAAACACCGCCCGGGCACTGCAGGGCCCCGGCTGCTCCCGGCACCGGTGTGTGGGGCAAAGAGGGATGGAGGGCTCCTTCCTGAAACCACCAAGCTGCTGCATGTCTCAAAACTGGCTGTACCTCTGCTTTGGTTTGGCTGTGCCACGTGTGCCACCTCCCCACACCGTTTCCCTGTGGTTGGTTTGGGTTTTGCCACCCTGCAAAGTCTCACGGATCCTGTCTGGAGTGAGGATGGATGACTTCCCTGGAGTGATTGCCCAGCAACAAACTCTTTTTATTTTTTAATTTAAAAGGAAAAGATGCTTGCATCTGATGTCAACACTAGTCTGTAGCTGCTCTCCAACACTTGTACCATTCCTGAGTTGGTTTTTTTGGACTATCCTTTTATTTTTTTATTCCTTTGTACAGTCAGTGTTGTTCAACTGATTCTACATGGTTTTGTTTTGTATAAATTAAAGTCTTTTTGTTTGTTTTGATCTACCAATTGAAAGGTGGAGAAGTTGTATCTAGTTTTGTGTGGGCTGGGAAGAGGTTGAAGGGAAAAGGTGGCAGTTTGCCCGTACCTGGGGATTTGGGGCTGCTTCTAGTGTAGGGGTGTATTGCCACTTCCAGGTCATCCACAAAATAACTCAAATTACATTTTCTGGGGAGTCTTCACAATCATGATTCCTGGCTGTGGTGGCTTTTTCCCTTTTCTGTACATGCAGAGGCTAAATCTGTTCTTGATTCTCACAGATTTGGGGTAGTGAGCTCTAAGAAAACACAGAATCATTTCCAACACAGTTGGTCCCGTAGGTGGCTGGAGAAAACCAGGCTCCCCAGCAGCTTGCCAGGAATTGTGCTCGTCCCTGCTCCACAGGGACAGGTTTGCAAGTAGTCAGAGCCTTAAATCCCTTCTTTGGGTCCAGGTGATCCTGGGGGAGCTGTCACCCATCCTGCCCAGACTGGAGCAAGCTGGAGGCCATCCTGGGATAAATGTGACTGAAATGGAGAGGATGCAGCACCAGTGTCACATCAGGGTGGCCCTCGGAGGCACTGGGAGCCCCAAAGAAAGGGGATTTGCTCCTGGGGTTGAGGGAGACTTCTTGTCTGATCCTTTTTTCCCAGCCCACCTCCCCTTGACCTCCCTTTTCCCCTGCCTTCTCACTTCCCTAGGATCAGATTTTCCACTTCGTACCAGACTGGCCACGGTTGTTTTAACGGCTTAAGTAGTAATTGCCGGGGCTGGGAGGGGGCAGGGGGAAATGAGATCGTGTCTGCAGCCTGGAAAACCCTGGAGCTAAGGTGAAAGCCTGGTCAGGGAAGAGCCTTTTTTTCCCCCCTTTTTTCAGGGGGTTCTGGAAGTGTCTGTTGCCTCTTGCAGGGCTGAAACAAAGGCTGTGTGTGGTTTCAGGTGGGGCAGGGACAGCCGGAGCCCATTACGCCGGAGCAGCGGGGGCTGCCTGGGCCACAGCTGTCTGCCTGGGAAGAGCAGGGCAGGAAAACACTGCACAGCCTCAACGTGGTGGGAAGGCTGGGAGAGCTTCAGGGCTCCGTGGAGAAGGAGGAGGGAGCAGGTTCCTCTGGGGTGATTCAGGTCTTTCCTCACTGAGTGTGTTTCTCCACAAACACCTTCCCCATTTGAGGTGTCTTGGGTTGGTCCCACTGTCCCTCACAGGCTGGGAAGAGGTGGTGACCTCCATCTGACTGCAAAATGCTTGAAAATGTGGGTGCGTGTCCCCACGGGTGTGTTAGAGGGGCAGGAGTCCCCTGGGTGCAGGGGTCATTGGAGGGGGCACATGGCACTGCACCCTTCCTCCGGGACACAGTGCTGAGCTGCTCTCTTGTCTTGAAGGGAGAAGACGAACCATAACCTGGGATGAGCTCAATTGGTTAAAACTAATAATGTCCAAGTCATGGGTTCAATCTCTGTAATGGGTCATTCACTTAAGGGTTGGACTTGATGATCCTTGTGGGTCACTTCCAACTCATAATATTCTGTGATAAAACTCACATCTGTGTCTGGGATCTTTGACAGGAACACCAAAAATCCTGTTTTCGGGTGCCATGGGTGCTTGGACATTTGGAGGTGAACAGTTTAGGGGAGACTGAAGCTACAGCTGCTTCAAGCCTTGAGATGGTGAAAGTATCGTGGGCTTGATCAGGTTTGGGAGAGTCACTTTGTCCTTCAGCTGAAGAATCACTAGAAGAGGCTGGGTGGATGTGAGGGTCCCAAGCTGGGTGGGGGTCCCCAGGAGTGGGTGAGGCTCTCAAGTAACTGGGAGCTGCATTTCCAACCACGCAGCACTGGCATCTCTCTGTCCAGTGCTGCACCACTGGGGTGAAGGTTCCCTGCCACTGCTTGTCCGGCCTCACGGCCTTTGGTCTCGGTGACACAGGGATTAGATGTCTTGGGCTCTGGTGTGAAACACGTGCCACCCTCAGAGCTGCTCCTCTGGCTCTGGAGAGGGGCCATGGGGCAGGAGCTGACCCAGACCCCAGCACCATCATCGTGCTGTGACCACACAGAGCCCAGCCTGTGGGTGGGTGAAAGCTGGGCTTCAGCTTTGCTGTTCCCTCCTGCACCAGCACCCTTGGGAGGACTCTGGGGCACCCCGAAGTGGCTCTGTAGCCCTGGGCTGCATCACCAGGGAGCAAGGGGCCCTGCAGCTGCCACACTGCTTCCCAGCTGGAGCAAGGTGGGTTTGTGGGTCAGGGATCTCCAGGCAGCTGGTGGCTGGGGTGGGTTGGGTGGGTCTGGGGGTCTCCGGGCTGCCGGGGTATGCAGGGTATAGCCCCCAGCAGCTCCTAGCTGGGCTATCCTGATGTGATTCCCTGTTTGCTGAACATCAGCCTTCCTGAAAGTGTCCCGGGGCAGCAGAACCTCCCCTTGTCAACCATGGCTGGAGGGACCCTTGGGTGGCTGCTGGGCTGTGAAACTGGGGATCCCAGGCACAGCTATGGTGTGGTTGTGGCCAGCTGGTGACAGACCTGACTGTGTTTTGGGGGGTTTTGGGCCCTAGGGAGCCCCAGCATTGCCCTGGGCAGCCGAGAGCCCCCAGCAGCACAGCTGATGATGAGCCCGGGCAGGGAGGTGGCAGCGCTGGCAGGTCACTGTGCCAGGGCACTGCAGCTGCACCCTGCTCACACCAGCGTGGGGGTGTCAAGAGCCCCCCCAAATCTGGTCTGGGGCAAAAGGGGTTCTCCGAGGAGCTGCACACCGGGGGAGCACCAAACCATTGCATGCAAAAGCCCCTCGGGGGGGGGGGGTGGGGTGTGAGTTGGATTCCCTGCCAAAACAAAAACCGAACAAGAAAGGGTTCCCCTCCTTTTTTATGTCCCCTCCACCACCTGCCCCCCAAGAGGAGAGGCTGGAGGTGTTGAGCTGCTCCCCCGGGGCAAAACCCCCTCGGGTTTGCTGTTTCGCAGGGGCTGCTGACCCCCCTCGGCTCTGAGGCTCTCGCCAGAGCCGGAAGAGTTAATGCTCCCAAAATGCCATGAAATGTTCCTGCTGCAGGTCAGTCTCCAGCGGGGATTAGGGGGATCTGGCCGGGGAGCCGAGGCCGGCTCCTGGCAGCTCAGGGCCGGTGCGGGACGTGCTGGTTGAGCTCAGGCGCAGGGTCTGGTCTGGCTCAGAGGACAGCCTGGCTGTAAATCAGCGGGGAGGGAGGGCTGGGAGCCCCAGGGAGAGTCCCTCCAGTTTGGCTGGGTGGGTACCCAGCCCGCGGGGCGAGCCAGGGTCCTGTGCCGGCAGCGCGGCGCTCGTGGGATGCCGGCTGGGGAGCGGGGATGGATCCGTGCCGCTGCCGGGATCCCGCTCCTGGGCACCTTTGGCTGTGGTGCCAGTGGGTGCCCAGGGGCGAGGTGCGGGGTGCGGGGCTCCCGGGCAGCCCGATCCCGCAGCGTGGGCTCCCCGTGCCTCCCGCCGGCCGCCTCGTCCCACCGGACTGCAGGCTCTGCCTGTTTTCTCATCCTGCAGGAATTCGGCTCCGTGGGCCGAGCGGGTTTTCGTGTGTCCCCCCCTCTCCTTCTCTTCACTCTCCCTCTTTGGAGACTTTCTGCATTCTGCCTTTGATCTCCCCCCGTGTTTGCCCAGGGATCGCCGGGCTCGCCGGGGTTAGAGGCTGAGGTCAGCGCCTTTCCCATTCCAAACACCCAGAAACATCAGTGGGAAGGGAGGGGATTCAGATTACAACCTTCCCGTCCTCCCCTTCCACCCCACTCGCCCCGCTCGCCGCGCCGGGGATGGACTGAGCCCCGGGGACTCCCGCCGCTGCCGCCGTGTCCCCGAGAGCCGCGCGGCGATGGATGGAGGGCGGCGTTGCCGGGGGTCCGGTGGGCGCCGGCCGCGCTGAAGGGCAGAGGTTTGGTCCTCGCCTCCTCCTCCTCCTCCTCCTCCTCTTTGTCCCCCCGCCTGCCCGCCTTCCCCCTCATTCCCTCCGTCCTGAATGTGATTTATCCCGAGCCCTCGCCAGCGAGCCAGGCCGGCGGCGCGGGGTGGCCCGATGGCTCCTCGTGGGGGTCGCGGGGCCCGGGACCAGCGCACGGGTGGGCGGCAGCGGGGCCCCGTGGGCATCGCGCTGCTCCTGCCCGTGCTGGCGGCGGCGGCCGGGCTGAGCCTGCAGCCGGGCAGGACGCGGCACCCGGGCGTGTGCCCCAACCAGCTGAACCCCAACCTGTGGGTGGACGCGCAGAGCACCTGCGAGCGGGAGTGCCAGGCAGACCAGGTGAGCGGGGGGGCTGCGGCGGCGGAGGGAGGTAACAGCTTTTGGGGAGCATCCCCAGGTCCCCGAGGAGATGTTTGGGGTGCGGGTCCTGTGCCCGGTGGCACAGCTGGTTCAGTTGTTTCGGTGCAATCGGCCCGGCTGCAGCTCTGCCCCCCCTAAACCCCTGCTGGCATGAGAGGTGCCCCGGAGATGCTCCCCAGTGCCCCACAGGCAGAGAAACTGCTTATTGCCCCCACATGCCTCCCCCTCAGGCCATGCCCCTTGGATGGGATCCCCTGCCCCACCCAGCCATGGTGTGCTGGGACGGGGATCCCATCAGGCAGAGGACAGAATCAATCCCCTCCCAGCTTTTCCCTGAGGGCAGGAGCACACCCACGAACTGGGCTGCCCATCCCAGAGAGCCCTGGCTCTGGGCTCCGCAGTGGTGAGCGGGACCCCCACCACGGTTAGGGCTGCCCAGACCCAGGATGGGGAGACTCCTTCACAATTCATCTGTGTAACGAGTTCTGCCTCCCCTCAGCCAGCAAAAGCTGAGAGGGGCAAGATGCTGTTTGCTTTGGGGGAGAAGGGCCCGTCATCACTGCAGTGCACCCCTAAACATCCTGGGGGTGCTGAGAGTGGGCTGGGGACGGTGCAGCGGTGCTGGGAGGTTTTAGGCTCTTACCCAGAGCCCAGCAATGCCAAAGGTGCACAGAGCTGCACGGGGGACACCCGCCCACCCAGAAGTCCCACAGGGGTGGGAACAGCCCCCACAGTCACAGCACGGCAGTGACCTCCATGTCCTCCCCACAACCTCCTCTCCCTCCCTGGCCAGGACTGTGAAGACTTTGAGAAGTGCTGCACCAACGTGTGTGGGCTGCGGAGCTGCGTGGCCGCGCGCTTTGCCGACGGCAGCGCCCCGGCGCTGGCCCTGGCACCCGCCGCGTCCTGCGAGAGCTTCGTGTGCGCCCAGCAGGGCTCCGACTGCGACATCTGGGACGGGCAGCCCGTCTGCAAGTGCAAGGACCGCTGCGAGAAGGAGCCCAACTTCACCTGCGCCTCCGACGGGCTCACCTACTACAACAAGTGCTACATGGACGCCGAGGCGTGCCTGCGCGGCACCCGCCTCACCACCGTGCCCTGCAAGCACATCTTCACCTGGCCCGACACCAGCCCGGTGCCGCAGGAGACCACGGCGCGCCCCACGCCCGGCGCCGGCCCCGAGGTGCCGGTGCCCCCCGCCCTCTACACCAACCCCTTTCACCAGTCCGTGCGCGCCGGGGGCACCGTCAGCTTCCGCTGCGACGTCAGCGGGCGCCCGCGGCCGGACATCACCTGGGAGAAGCAGAGCGAGCGCGAGGAGAACTTCATCATGCGGCCGGACCAGATGTACGGCAACGTGGTGGTCACCAACATCGGCCAGCTGGTCATCTACAACGCCCGCCACGAGGACGCCGGCATCTACACCTGCACGGCCCGCAACGCCGCCGGGCTGCTCCGCGCTGACTTCCCGCTGTCTGTGGTCAGGCGGGAGCCAGGGGGGACCCCGCGGGCCAGCAGCCCCCAGCCCTTCCCCAGCACCGAGTGCCTGAAGGAGCCGGACCGGCGGCGCTGCGAGGCCGTGGAGGTGCGCTGGCACTTTGATGCCAAGCAGGGCTCCTGCCTCACCTTCCGCTACGGCGGCTGTGGGGCCAACAGGAACCACTTTGAGACGTACGAGGAGTGCCGAGCCGCCTGCCTGGGCAGCGCCCGCCCCACCTGCCTGCTGCCCATGGTGCAGGGGCCTTGCCAGAACTGGGAGCCACGCTGGGCGTACAACCACCTGCTGAAGCAGTGCCACTCCTTCGTCTACGGCGGCTGCGAGGGCAACACCAACAACTTCGAGAGCAAGGAGACGTGTGAGGACGTGTGCCCCTTCCCCAAGAGCCTGCAGTGCAAGGCCTGCCGCCTCAAGAGCAAGATGGTGCTGAGCCTCTGTCGCAGCGACTTTGCCATCGTGGGCCGGCTGATGGAGATCGTGGAGGACCAGGACTCCGGCATTGCCCGCTTTGCCCTCGAGGACGTCCTCAAGGATGAGAAGATGGGCCTCAAGTTCTTCAACATCAAGTACCTGGAGGTGACCTTGACCGACATGGACTGGAGCTGCCCCTGCCCCAACATGACAGCGGAGGACGGGCCACTGATCATCATGGGCGAGGTGCACGACGGCATGGCCACGCTGGACCCCAGCAGCTACGTCCGGGCAGCCAATGACAAGCGTGTGAAGAAGATCTATGAGCTGATGGAGAAGAAAACTTGCGACCTCCTGAACCGCTTCCAGGACTAGGGGAGAGCCAGGATGTGCCAACAGGGGGAGCTGCAGACACACCATGGAGGGGGCAGCCTAGGGAAGCCCCTGCATCTGAGGTTACCACCATCATGTAGTTCCCCCCAGCCTCATGCTGAGCCCCAGACCAGCTCCCGTCTCCCCTGTAATTTATCTGCTGCATGCCCCCCTCTTGTGTGCCCCCCAGCCTGGCCAGCAGCAATAAGGAACTGGGTTGGGTTGCAGAGGGGTGGGAGGTCTGCCAGGACATCCCTCCTCCCCATAAAAACTTTCCCACCTCATTGAAGCCTCTGGACCCAGTGTAGCATCCCCAGTGCAGAATCTGACCCCCCGCTGGTGCCGGGAGTGGGCTGGAGATCCTCCCCCCTCATGTTGGCACTGAAAGCATCAGGGAGCTGCTGGGTCAGGGGGGAGCCAAAGCCACAAAGTTTATTGGGGGGAACAGCACAGTCCTGGGAAAGGGGGAAGGATGATGGGCCCCCTGCCATTAGCACAGCATCCTAGGAGCAAACTGAGCAAGAAGTCTCCCCCATACCCAGGGGTGCTGTGCCCCCGCTCCCACACCTGTGCCCCCCATGCCTGTCCTCCTCTGGTCCAGGCTGTGGCACTCTGCTGCAAAGGGAGAAGGCACTGGGGGACATGGACCCCCCAGCCAGGCCAGCCCCAGCTGGGGCGTGGCACTGACCCATCACTGCTGTCCCCAGATGGCACCTGTGGGGGCACGTTGGGACCCCTCGAGGAGGCAGCAGTGGGGGCAGTGCCAGGAGGTGCTGGAGGTCGGGGCAGTTACAGCTTGCGGAAGATGAGGCTCTTGTTGTTGGCCGGCATGTCCACCTGGGGGCAGAGCCGGGGGTCAGGGGGCGCCCACTGGTCTGGGGACCCCCCCCAGACCCCGTCACTCACCATCCTCTCCAGGCGCAGCCCGTTGGCCTCGGCCAGTTCCCGCAGCAGTGCCGTGTCCCGCAGGCCCCAGGCGGGATTCCTGCGGGGAGGGAGGCTGGGTCAGGTCAGACAGACAGACATCGTGTCCCGAGGCATCCCCATCTCCCGGGGGTGCCTTGGGGTGCGGGGGCTTCCCCCAGATGCTGCTTATCTTGAAGGACCACACTGGGAGGGAGCTTCCTGCAGCTGCAGGAGCACGGATGGGCAGGACAGACAGCACGGGCAGGACAGACAGGACAGGCCCCCAGCAGCCTGGGACCCCAGCCCCCTCCTACCTCTGCCTCAGGCTGCGGTCAAAGTCCACGTTGCTCTGGGGGCTGATCTGTCCGTCCACGGCGTAGGGCTGGTGGGACAGGGAGCTGGAGCTGCAGGCTGGAGCCATCCTGTGTCCCCCCCAAGCGCCCCCTCCATGGGCTGCTGTCCCCACCATGCACAGAAGCCAAGCAGGAAGAGCCGTGGCCCCCAAGAGGCACCCTGGGTCCCATCACCCTCTGCGAGTCCTGTCATCCACCTCAGGTCCTGTCACCCACCTTGGGTCCTGTCACCCACTACAGGTCCCATCACCCTCCACAACCCCCCCCCCAGACTCTGCCTTGGATAAGGCAAGGGAGATGAGCATCTTTCCCATCAAAAACTGCCCCACCCAGAGCTCAGCATGTGCCCCAAAAGGCAGAGACTCCCTAAACCCAAGCTCTCCCCTTTCCCGCCCCCTCCCCAAGCCATGCCTGGAGCTGCCCTCCCATCTGCCACCCCCCAGCATTCCCAGTGATGCCCTGTGCCCTGCAGATGCTCCCACACCAGGACAGTGACCCACCCCATAGGTGAAGAGCACTCCTCCAGGCTTCAGCAGCACCCCAGCACCCTTGAACAGGCCCTGGGGAATCAGAGAGGTGGGGACCAGGTCAGAGGTCTGGGGACACCCCCTGGGACCCCCTCCTCGGCTCTGGCACTGTCAGACCAGGGGACAGGGCCTGGGGGAGGGCTGCTCACCTGGGTGCAGCGCAGCTCCGCGATGTGCATCATGTTGATGCTGACGAGGAGGTCGAGGGAGGCGGGCTGGGTGCCTCCCCACGTCTCCCAGCCCTGCGAGACGTCCACCACGATGGGGGGCAGCAGGTTGGGCAGCCCCGCGGCCTCCACGTAGGCAGAGATGCTGTGGGCACCAAACTCCACCTGAGCCCCAGCCGGGCATTGCTTGGTCCTCCCCCCCCCGTGCATCCCTCCAGCACCCGCTGCAGGCACAGGCAGAACTCCTGGATGGTGTCTGAGGAGGTTGTGGGTGCAGCACAGCTGGGGGGTCTTTGCTCCCCGATGGAGAACTGGCAGCACCTGGACAACCAGCAGCACACGGATGGAGAGGCCCCAGGGCCCAAACCCCGCATTCCGGAGCAGCCTGTGCTCCTGCCTGCCTGCACCCCCTCGGTACCACTGCCCCAGCACCGCCAGATTTTGGTGTGATTTACACCCTTTTTGGCACATTCACCACCCAGGTCTTGGCTCTGCAGCCTCACAGGGCAGTGGGTGCTGCTGGGTGGGCAGGACACAAACCCCCCTGGACAGGCGCCCATTCCGGCACCTCCCCACAGTGTTTATTTTTTTCCATGGGGGAAAGATGGATTTTGGGACTTTTCTGGGAAAAATAAAGTCCTGAGCTGGGGAGCCTGGTTGGATATTGGGATTTACTGAAAAAAAATATAGTGAGTATTGACTTGGGAAGCCTGGGATGGGCAGGAGTTGAATATTGTGGTTTGCCTGGAAAAAATAAAGTCTCAAGCAGGGAAGCCTGGGCTGTCCAAAGGGTCTTTGCTGGAAAAAAATTCACATCAAGCTCATCTGAGAGCAGGATATTGGAGTTTTCCTGGAAAAAATACAGCACTGAGCAGGAGAGCCTGAGCTGCCAAAGGGTTGGATATTGGATTTTTCCGGGGGAAAAAAAAAATAAAGTGGGGAGCCTGGGCCCACTGTTGAGTGGGTCTGTTCTGGAAAGAATATCCATTTGACAGCTGGATATTGGGGTTTTCCTGGAAAAAACACAGCACAGAGCAGAGCCTTGGCTGCCCCAGAGTTGGAGCTGAGGTTTTTCCTAGAAAAAAACGAAGCGGGGAGCAGGGAACCCGGGCCGCGGGTCTGTGGGAGGGGGCTGCAGGCAGGCGGTGCCCCGGGCCCCCCAACCCTCCGGGCCCCCTCACCTGCGCAGGGCCCAGGGGTCGATGTCCGAGGGCTGCCAGCGCGTGTGCGGGAGGGCGCGGGCGAAGTGCGCGGCGTGGAGCCCCGCACCCGCGCCCACCTCCAGCACCCGCAGCGCCGCCCCCGCGGGGGCTCCGCGCCCCGCGCACTCCCGCAGCACCGCCAGGATCGGGCCCTTGTTGCGCTCCGCGGCCGCCGGCACCTCCATGGCCGGGCTGGGAGGGGACGGGGGGGAACTACAGCTCCCGGCACCCCCGCGGGACCGGCCCACGGGACCGCCCCCACGGCCGCGGGTGGAGCTTCCACGGCGGGGTGGGTGGGGAGAAAAAAAAAAAAAAAAAACAAAACAGAAAAAGGAAGGAAAAGGTTCCTGCGCCGCCCGGGAATCGAACCCGGGTCGCAAGAATGGGAATCTTGCATGATACCACTACACCAGCGGCGCTGCCGGCAGCGCTCCCGCCCCGCCGCGCCTCGGCCACACGCGGGACCCGGGGGCCGCTGGGCCCTGCAGCTCACCCACCGTGCACGGACATTCCCACCCTGTCCCCCCCAACAAGAGCGAATTGAGGCTCTGCGTGGACACCTCAGGAAATTGGGGGTGAGTGGGGAACCACCCCTGCTGTGACTGCTCCCACTGGTGATGGAGGTCTGGAGGGATCCGTCTGGAGCACAGGGATTTGGGGTTCAGCCCTTCTGAGCATAGGAAAGCTCAGAGATGTGCCCACAGGCACTGACAAACCCCGGGCAGGTCTCAAGTGGGGAGACTGAGGCACAACCCCTGCCGGCTGACAGGGCAGGTGACAACCAGCGGTGGTGTCCCCACGGGTCGGGTTGTATTTAGGCACAGGAATAGGGTTGGGGGAGTCATGTGGATGTGACCGTGCTGGGTGCACCCCTGAGGGTGAGCCAGGGGCGTCTGGCACCCACCACGGTCAGGCACTGCTGTGCTTTTTGGGGGGGGCACCCTCCTGCACCCCTCCCTCCCTGGCCACCACCGTGGACACGTGGCGGAAAGGCAAAGGTCACTCTCGTGGGGTGGCTTTGCAGCACCTGGAGCTGGGATGGAGCATTCAGGAGACCCCAGTGGGTTTGTCACATGGCCTCTCCCCAGACCCTGGCTGCTGTCACCAGCCAGCCCCGGGGGGGGCAGCCGGGGACCAGCTCCGGGTCATGTGCCGGGTCTGCACCTCCCACCACGCGGGGACACCTCGGCGGGACCTCCCAGCTCCAAAGGTCACCGTGGCGGCCGGGACGCCGCCCCCGCTCCGGCTTCCCGCGCTGGTCATGGGATGTGCGGCTCTGGGCTCGTCACAGCGCTGTCCCCACGGGGGTGGCACCTCAGCCCCTGCCTCTGAGCCCCCTCGATGTCCCCTGCCTGGGCCCTCTGTGTCTCAGGAGTGACCCCTATGTGTCCCCTGTGTGTGCCATGGCTCCCGTGTTCCATCTCCTGAATGTCCCCGTTCAGGTCCTCTCCGTGTCCCCTGTGACTCCCGTGTCCCCTGCGTGCCTGTGCCATCTTGTGTCCCACGTGCCTCCTGTGCCTTTTCCCCTACTTTGACCCCTGTGCGTCCCAGTGTCCCTTGTGTGCATTCTATATGTCCTGTCTGTGTCCTGTGTCTCCCACGTGTCCCACATGTACTCTGTGTCCCATGCATGTCCCCTGTATGTCCTCATGTCCCACGCATGTCCCCATGTGTCCCCCATGTGTTTCCTGTGTGCCCTCCACATCCCACGCGTGCCCCTGATATGTCCTATGCATGTCCCAAATGTGTCCCCACATCCCGTGTCCTTTCCTTAAGGTCCCTGTATGTGTCCCATGTATGTCCCCACATGTGCTCCAAATGTGTCCTGCACGTCTCCCTTGTGTGTCCTTGCACCCTGTGTGTCCCCCCACGTGTACACCCGACATGTCTTGCGTGTTTCCCCTGTGCGTCCCCACGTCCCACACACGGCCCCAGTGTATCCCCTGAGTGTCCGCTGTGTGTCCCCACATCCCCTGTCTGCCACCAGCGTCCCCCATGTGTGTCCCCGGTGTGCCCTGCACGTGTCCCTTGTGTCCCCTGCACCTCCCACGCGTGCCCGTGATGCGTCCCGCGTGTCCCCTGTGCGTCCCCACATCCCACGCGTTCCACCTTGCGTGTCCCGTGCGTGTCCCCTACGTGTCCCCCTATGCTGTGCACGTCCCTTACACACCCCGCATGTGCCACATGTGTCCCCGCACACCTCCCACGTGTTCCCGCGACGTGCCTCGCGCGTGTCCCACGCCCCCCCCGCGCACACCCCCAGCCCCTCTGCGCGGTCCCCCACCCCACGCGCGCCCCCCGCGCGGTCCCTTTAAGCGCGGGGGCGTGTCGCGGGGCCGCCCGGCCCGGCCCGGCCCGTTAAAGGCCCCGGAGAGGGGCGCGCTCGGCAGTGGTGCGGGGGCGC